CTCTGTAGCCTGAGGAGAGGAGCTGACAGGACCTGTCACTCCCTCACTGTAGCGTGGCCGAGCCCTGTATAGTCCGCGGATACAGGGAGCATCTGTCTCCTGTACCCGGCCAGACTAACAGGAAGTGCGCACTCAGTGTGCACTTCCTGTTAGTCCGGCCGGGTACAGGAAACAAAAGCTACCTGTACCCGTGGACTATACTGGCTCGGCCACGCTACAACTGAGGTGGGGTGGAACAAGGGAGAGATGGGTGGTGGAATAAGGAGAGATTGGGGGGATAAGGGAGATTGGGGGGGAATAAGGAGAGATGGGGGAATAAGGAGAGATGGGGAGGGGATAAGGAGAGATTGGGGGGAATAAGGAGAGATTGGGGGGATAAGGAGAGATGGGGGGATAGGAGATTGGGAGGGGAGGAAATTGGGAGGGGGAAGGAAATTGGAGTGGGGGGATAAAAAAAGATTGGGAGAAGGGGATAAAGAAAGAAATTGGGAGGGGGGAGAGAAGGAAATTGGAGGGGGGCGGAGAGATTGACATTCATCACACACAATGCACCCCTTGCACACAGAAAAACACACAATGCATTACACACACTGACACACATACACAAGCAATGCAACCGTTACACACAATGCATCCCTTACACACACAATGCATTCATTACACACACTCAATGCAACTCGTACATACACAGAAACACATTTTGCAGCCCTTACACATACAAACACAGATTCACACAATGCATTCCTTACACACATATCAGGACATGCCCTACACACTCCACCCCCTGTGAACAAACTCATTGGTGGAACATGAAGGTGGACCCTGAGACCCAGACTTTGAGCTGTGTAAAGGGCCCCCAAAAAATGGAGCTGCTTCCCGTTCTCCCAGAACATTGATTTTTGTGACCACAGTTACAAACCGCCTCCAGAGAGCCTGTTATACATCAGACCAGTGGAGCCAGACTGCAGCTAGAGCCCGTCATCATCCTCATCTGGTTGTAAGTAGGCAATCTAGTATATTATTCGTGGCACTAATCTCTAATTTACCTCACATTAAAGAAACACTATAGTCCCCAGAACAACTGCAGCTTAATGTAGTGGTTCTGGTGTCTATAGCCTGTCCCTGCAGGCCTTTTAATGTAAACACGGCGGCACTGCAGCACTGGCGTTAGATAACATGGCAAATCATATGGGTGGGGCATAGTGATGTCACATGGGGGGGTGGCAAACTTTACATTTGCCTAGGGCGGCAAAAATCCTTGCACCAGCCCTGGCTGGAGGGGGCTGTGTGAGCTGTGGCCGCACAGTGCCCCATGGTAGTTAGGGTGCCATGCGGCCAGTACAGCTCACACAAGCAAACAGCTGATAAACTGGCCGCAAGGAGGAAAAGTGGGGTGGAGCTAAGCAAAATCGGAGGCGGAGCCAAACTGGCACTGGGGGCAGGGCTTTGGGGGGGCAAGGGGGTGCCAAGCACAGGACCCGCCCCGGGTGCCAAATGCTCTAGGTACGTCCCTGCCTGGGAGTGCTGATTATTTCGGTCTTATGTTCAATAGTGCAATCGAGCACCGGGTCTGAATTTCTTTCAGTAAGTAGGAGTGCAGGGCTTCTGTTCAAAATTATATATATATATATATATATATATATATAAAAAATTAGATGTACATTGCAAGTGATGTCTCATTTTATAGTTTAGGAGAAACATTCTAGGTTAGTCAGAGTTAAGAAGAGTTTTAAATTGTTTGATTATAACATATGCCAGCTCAATTAAGTAGTACGCCAAAACGGAGAGCCGGATTCAGTATCACACCAAAGATGTTCTTTCATCCTGAAGACTCCCACTAACTAGTGTAGACATCCTGAAGACTCCCACTGAATAGACCACTGGGCGGTCGGGCGGGCAGCAGGTTAAGCATCTCCTCTCAAGGGTACCAAAAGACATCCTTTAAGCTTCAGCCGTAACCAGCACACCTTTGTATAGTTTCCAGTTGGCAAATAGGAAAAAAATAAAAGAAAAAAAATCAGCCTTTTGTGAGCTCAAAAATTGAAATACAGCAGGAACTGGTCTAAAATGCAGCCTTTGAACCTGGCAATTTGACCCCCCCCCAAAAAATTTGTGATTATTATTTTTTTTCTTCGCTCTTATTATTAAGTTGTTTTTCTTTTAACGATCTTCTAGCTCTGCCATTTTTTTTTTTTTTGCAAGTCTGTATATTTATTGTTCAAGGTATTCTAGGCATCGTGCTATTGAGAGTTGACAAATTTTCTAATTAAGAAAATACATTTGAACTTGCGGAAACTGAAGTTTAAATGAATCTGTTTCTTATGTGGTATTGATTATAAAGACAGGTTATATTATCTAAATGTTGGTAAAAATCCAAGTAACAAGTCCAAAAAACAAAAACAGAAAAGCACACAATGCTAGCCAATCTTCAAACAAAGAAAAGAAAATATGATAGTTACTTGTTACTTGAAAACGAGAGAAATCTCAATGTATCTTTCCTGGTAAAATATTTAATAAATAAATAAATAACTTGTCATTTGGATTCACAAGTGCCAGAAATTAAGATTTTACAGAAGCACAATGCGTACTTTGCAATAAAACATTGCAAACAGTTCATTAGCACCTGCTAAATTATGTCGTTGTTTTGAGCAAAACCACGCAGAGTAGATAGACATTGACTTTTTTTTTTTTTTTAATCAAAAGCTAAAAGGAGTATCAGAAGAGTAAACAATTTATGAGCAAAAAAATTTCAAAATGCTAATGAAAAAGCCACAGAGGCTTCTTACAGAGTGAGTTACCGCATAGCACTTGCAGGAGAAGCACACACAATTGGGGAATCACTAATAAAACCATGTGCAAAAGAAATAGTGTCATGTATTTTAAGTGAGAAGTGGAGTAAAAACATTTAAGCTGTGCCACTTTCCAACAACAAAGTTTTGGCCGTATTCATGATCTTGCTGATGACATTCATACTGAACTAATTTCTCAACTGCATCAATGTTAAGGGTACTCACTGCAATTAGACGCGTCCACAGATGTTGCAG